TGAGAGCGAGAAGCAATCTGTAGTGTCCCATGACTCTGCTGGATGAACAGTGTGGTCACAGTGACTTTTGGAGCGACGGTCACTGCTGGAGTTAAAGGAAGTTTTGGTTCCCAAAACCAGAAAGAAGGAAGTGGAGGAGGGAGCAGCTTGAGAACTATCACAAGAATGTGATAAGGAAGGGAAAAACTACACACCTGAGAGGCGATGCCAAGGAGTAAGGTAGGTTATGGTGGTGTTACCCATATTCCTCAGTTTTCAAACAGATTAGAAGTTACTGATTGAGATGGTGGCTGATGCAAAAGGTAGGCAGTTATGTCCTCACTCTTGTGAAACATCAGAGGTCTTCAAGCCCCCATCCTTTGAGGGACGTGTCTCATGCACTGGAGTGTAACTGTGGGTTACTGTGTGTGTCTGTGGGGTTGGTGCTGGGAGAAGGGCCACCAGACCGTGGCTGAATTGAGTTGTTTCACTAAAATGTGGAATCTACTTCACTGAACAAAAGCTCATTTGGAGAGAGAGACAAAGGTAGAAATGAGAATGTGGATAAAGAATTGCCAGAGAGATAATCTGAGGATAACAGTGTTTGGAGATGAGCTGGACTTCTGCTTGGTGCTGTGAGGACCTATACAGCAATACATGGTCCAGCAATGCTGGTCATCAGGAACTTTAATACCAAAACCGTGAGAAACGTTTGAACTTCAGATGACTCCAGAATTCAATTGCAGTTTAGCAGGTTTTTAAGGCTGATGCTTTATATATATAAGGCATATACAAATATGCACACAGTCAATATATATATTCACGTGTGTATATATATATTTTTTATGTATATGCTTTAATTTTTTTTCTCTTCAGTCAAATAAATTCAGTAGCTTTCACTTAAGCCAGAACTAGGGGAGTCTTTTTGGTAGAGAGAGATTTGATGGAGCCATGCGAAGCATCGAGGAGTCTGCACCAGAGTTCTTCAAAGGTTTCATTCAAGGCCAGCTCATTGTTAACCTGAATATTTGATTTGAAGTCATGCTGCTTTCACATGTCATGCTACCCTGGCACTGGTGAGAGGAGAGACTGGAGGAGGGAATGAGAAAGCAGGGAAGGATTTGGTTATCAAAGCAGAGGACTTAGATTCAAAAGTAATCGACAGAAGGAGATTACTTTGGCTCACAGTTCAGACTGGGGCTCTATCCCAGTAAATAAGCCACCCCCTCGTACAGACATAAACCCCTATGTGTGCATTACCAGCTTCATGCAGAGACAGGGAGATGGTGCCATCACTTAGCTACCAACCTGGCCAAACCTTGGGTTTTGCTGAAGCCTGACTCAAGGATATTAATAAAAAGAAACGATTTTACCCTTTCTAGTCTCACTTACAGCAGGCTGCTAATAATGCCTTATGAGGCCGCTACACAGTTCAATCAATAGTTTGATTTTTCTGCCCTAGAGCTGTCAGAAACACAAACCCCACGCTTAGCTGGCTGAGTGAGGACCTGACCACAGAGATGGAGGAGAAATTTGGGACAATGGAGCTTTGTGACTAATGGGAAACTTGGGTATGGACCGCTCTTGCCGCTCTTCAGCCTTCTCCCATGGCTGCATCCTGCCAAATCCACCAATGATGCTCAGCACCAGTTATTTATTTCCATGTCACCTATGGAAACATTCAGGTTTGACAAAGGGGGAAAAAAGCGATTCAGCGTCTTTTGACAGAGGGAGGCTGATTTTCATTCGAGACAGAATGGCTCATTTTTACCTTTTTAGCTCCTGGAAGAGTAAAAAGTGAGAGGTCAAACCTGCATCACCATGACAACCCCTGCAGTGAGGAGTTTGAGCAGATGAAGGGGAGTGATAACAGAGCTGAAGTTTCTCCCTGTTCCTGTCGTGGCTGAGATTTTTGCTTTCCTTCTTTCTTCTCCTTAGGCCTTGTAAGGTGTGGCCCCCATGCATTTTGCAAGGGTTAAAGGATGACATCGGCTGGTTTATAAAGCTGCCAAATGCTTCCTTTGGGGTCAGGCCTTGATACAGCACTGCCTGGTGTTAGCCATATCAACCATGTGAAAAAGAGCATTGTAAGAATGCAGAAGATCAAATATCACCTCACTTGCATTTCCTGCTGTAGTGCAGGTGTATTATGCCAGCAAGTGCACTCGTATTACCATGTTTGCATCAAAGGAAGCTGTCGTCTCTGCCTTTCCTCACAGAACCTTTGGTGTGTGCAAATAAGCTCAGTAAAACAGCCCTTCATTGAGGAGAGAAGGGATTGCACTAATGAAGCAGTCCAACAAAGAGTGGGGGCCCAAGGCACTGTGCTCAGGAAGGATTGCAGGTGAAATTGGGAGCTTATTTGAGATGCTGAACTCATCTCCTAATTTCCTAGACCAGCACAAGAAGGAACGTGCAAGAGCAGACTGCAGACAGTTGAGGTTACAGCCCTGAGTGAAAATGAGTGAAACTGAAGTGACACAAACAATCCTCCAAATTCCTTTCTACCTAGAAACTGAGCCTAGTCCAATGAGAGGGTGGACACCAAAACAGCAACAACAAAAACAGATTACCCATTTTTTTTCCTGGGGTTGGAAACATCCTTTTGTTGTATAATCAATACTCTGGTTGTGGTTGCAACAAAAAATGAAAGAGGACAAGGAACGCCAAAGCAGATATTCCAGTGTCAAGGATATTAATTTTGCTGGAAGATCTATCTCAGAGTCATGAAACTTCAGTGACATTTATACAGTGATCAGTCAGTTATGCAGAGAAGAGAAATAGTCAGAGTTAGCACTAAAGAAGTTGTCAATGGATATAAAATCTCCAGCTGAAGCTGTTCTCTGTGTCCAAAGGATTACGCTCAAGCTTTCTCAGAGGCGATGAATTACCGTGTTTCTGCTTTTTGAAGGGTTTCTCCTATCTTCTTCCAAGTGGTGGACACAGCCCTTGTTGTCAGGACGGAGCCCATCAACCAAACAGGCAAACTGCAAAGAAAGAGTTTGGCTATGGTCAGCCTACCACAAGATTTGGGACAATAGCTGCATTAACATACCCACTCAGCAGGAAAGCAGAGCTGGGCTATTGGGATCAGCCTGCAGATAAATCAAAGCAAATCTGAGCGATAGTGATATGATGTTGCAATAGTAATTCGCTCCTGATGACGATTTAGAAGAGAGAGCCAGTTCAGAGTTTCACAAGCATACAGCCCTGTGGGACAGTATGAAAGAAAATAATCAGTTTAGATGGAAAGAAAGTGGAGGTTATCAACTGCATAAATAGAAGCCTGGCAGAAAACAGATGAGATAATTTCTGAACAGGCCTTGGATTATTGTCTGTGTTTAGACAACCGATTTATGAACTGCTGGACACTGGTATATTAATCAGCAAATCTGAAAAATTAGGTTAAATATGAAACCCCTCTACGCAAGTGCATTGCAACAACACTGATTTAAACAAGATGTTAGAGCATGACAGAAAGTGCAATTTCATCCTGACAATGATGAGCCAGAAACCTCAGCTTTCCTCTTCCCGTGGTGTGACTGGGCTCTCTTCACTCAAATTTGAGCATTCGTTATGATCTTGGAGAGGGGCAGAGCTCCCGTCTGCTGGTGCAGCTCCAGCAAAACTCTTTTGGGGAGCTCATTCTCTGTGGACAAAATAATGCATGCCAATCACCTTGGCACCAGATCACTTGGATGCTTTAATTACATTTATTTTATTTTTATTCCTCACCGCAACTCTGCTTAGACGTATTCAGCCATAGTGGAGTCAGTGAAATCTGATGCTGGTTTGAATTTACTAACTGCTCTTTGAAAATCAGCATATTTCTGCGTGGAAATGTTCTGCAAACAACTTGCAATGATCTCCACCTTTTCTCACCCCTCCATCCCCCAAAGAAAAGGAGAGAAACTAAATTATAGAGCTTAATTTTACACTTTACTTGGATAATGTTTGAACATAAAGTGATACATGACGACTGTGTTTTCTTTGAAATTGTACATTTAACATTGTAGATGATGTAGGTGGAGCTCATGAACTTTGAAAGATTTTAAGAAAAGAGCTTTCCTATGGTACTAGAGTACTTGGTCACAACTAAAACCAGCCCAGGAAAGGCCAAGGGACCTAGTAAAGAAAGTGTGAAATACCATATTCAAAATGGAATTAGCTTAAGCTCCAGAGAAGAAAACCACAAGCAACACATTTCTTTCTTCAGAGCTACTCACGCATACCCTTCATCCATAAAGGTGCTGGCATGGCAAGCAAATATTGCTGTCCAGAGGTTAAAGTTCAAATGCATCACTTGAGTCAATGAGAAGTTCCACCAGGGCAGGATGAGCCATTTCCTTTGGGAGTGGTGAGGTGGGGTGGGGTGGGGTGGGGAGAGATGTGGGTGTGTGGTGTCGGATGTAGACACAGCCCTTGTACAGCAATTACCATGAAGTTTAAATAAATACAATAGCCTAATTTTGCATGGAAGTACACTTTAATTAAGTTGCTGCAGAACAATGAGCTGTTTCCATAAGAGCTGTGAAAATCATCACAAGGGACTGTCCAGAGGAAGAGAGAAACAAACAAGAGAAGCTCTCTTTGTATAGAAAATATGCACAGGAAGTATGTTGAAAAGCTGCTCCCAGTTAATTTGCTTAGGAAGAATTAATAACAAACTCGAGCCTTTTGCTCTGTTTTCACTCCCTGTCCCAGAGTCTCATTGTGCTTACCAGGCTGAGGGAGATGCAACTCATTTGCAGAGTAATGTCAGAGCATTGCAGCATACTGGGTGTGATGCACACCAATGAGTTTAGCCAGGTTGAGATGAGTTGCTTCTGGGCTGGAAAACCACATGGAGAAAAACCCATCCTTCTA